AACATGACAACGTTTTCATTGGTCCCTCTTCTTTAGAGAAGACCAGGAAATGATGGATACACGGATCGTGTTCAAATCAATAGGCACGCAATGACTCTAAATAATAATGATCACGCCACCAAACACACATTCAGACTAAAGGAACCAGCCTGTTTGGAAAATGTGAGAAGTAGAAAGTACAGGTATTTGTGTTCAACATGTAAGAAGTAGAAAGTACAGGTATTTGTGTTCAACATGTAAGAAGTAGAAAGTACAGGTATTTGAGTTCAACATGTAAGAAGTAGAAAGTACAGGTATTTGTGTTCAACATGTGAGAAGTAGAAAGTAAAGGTATTTGTGTTACAANATATGTTATTTAAAACCACCTCGAATATGTTGTGTTAATGTTATGAAATGTTTTCTCATAAATGATGCGGTAAGCAGGAGAACAGAATTACGTCTAAACTGACGCCGTTTTGCATTTCTATAGGTTGTAGATACGAGCATGGTTTGATTACTATCAAGTTTAATCGTGTTTTATGCAGTTTGCCAAGACTTGATAAGTCGCTCGTAAAACACAGGAGGTATGGAAACTAAGAGCACCATATGTGGTAAATTGTACAGCTAATATAACAACACATTAGTTGTGTTTCCTTTAACTGGTGGATATAGAGTTGCTGCGGGGGGTGAGATGCACAGGCTGCAGTGCAGACGCTGCGCACAGCTGATCGACAGCTGGGACACAAGCCGCCAAATACAAAAACATAATTCAGATCCAGCCGTCATGACTCCACTCCGGAGGGATCCCCCGATCATTTCTTACAGTTTCTCATCAAGGGGGGGTTTCCTGTCCCCGGTACAAACACACTGCCTGAGGAAGGCTATGTGTATTTTTTTTGTCATTAACCTTTTTCGGACCACTTATTTATTTATTTTGGTGACGATCCGACCTCCATGCTGCTACTCTGGTTCAAACTGCATCCCCCAAACAATATGATTTATCTCGACCTCCCCAAAATAACCAAAATCTCACACGATGTGAGAGGGTTTTTTTTAACTGTTCTGTCGTCATTTCCTGCGATCTTCTTCATAAAGTCAGTCAAAATGAATGAATGAAAGGGCGTTTCTTTGACTATTTATAGGCAAACATGGGCGTTACGTGAAGCCCGCAAAAGCTGCACCGCATTTCGAGTCGGTTGTGATTTATAAAAAGGGAAACAGGCGTAGGAAGTGCCATACGCACTTTCCTCGCCGGTATGCNAAGTTTGGTGAATCGGAAAGTGGCGGAAAATTTATGGACCTATTTTTTGGATTTCTACTACGTAAACTACCTTCCCACGTCAATCCTACGCACGGCGTTATACATGAGGCCCCAGACGACCGTTTGTTACATTGTTTCATTTTTCAGAAGGTTCGGTTTGCGTTCACACCTCACACGGGCAAAACTCAAACGGACTATAAAGTTTAAACACAAGTCATGTGCACATTTACTAGGCCACTGAACACACTTACATTTAAAAGTGTACTGCGTCGTTGCTGCCATTTTCCGCCAAAGATTTTGGAAATTGGTCCGTGCGCAATGAATTGTGGGGCTTTTAAGACCGCCGAGGATACACATGAGCAGCCTCGACATTTCCCGCAACGAAGGACTCAGTCCTCGGTTGAATTCCAAGGATCCTGGACATTGGAACAGTCCTTCGGCGGGATTCGATGACGTAGCATCCTTTAAATAGTGGCTGTGAAGGATCCTTCCTTGACATTCAGAAACACCCCGGATCTAAGCATCCGTACTGGGGCACCGCACCCAATGATCCGCCTGCAACATAACTTCTGTTAACGCCCCCCTCGGTTTTAATTTTGTACTAGTCGATTCTTTTTTAAGAAATACCCATCAAAATAGTAGGTTTTGCAATTGGTCGATCCCTCACAATGTAACATGGCGATGCAGTATGGTGTCTTACAAACATAACTGCTGTGTGTGTATTGTGTATGCACCTGCCCGAGAGAACCTCGTCAGAAAACACCAATGGCAGCAATTTATATGGCGCAGTATCTTGCATTAACAAGTCCCCCGCAATACAAGCACATCCGAAAAATACGACGTTGTCAAAGTAACAGGCCTCACAATGGGCAAAATGTTCCACAGCCTCATGCTGCCATTTCAATCAAAGATTTATGCCGTCAACCAAGGAAACTATTGTCCGATGCCCCATATTTTAGCCTATACGGTTATGTAACCTACTAAAACCTCCAGCAATGATATATATATATATATATATAATCAAGATTTGTTATGATACATTTGACATGATTTACATTTTTGGTTGTCCTGTCGTAAGGAATTGTCTCCTGTGTAACACATTTAATTATCATTCTTAAACACCTGCTAACTGCCGATGTAGCCATATGGCTTTATCAATTACAAAAAGTGAAGGGGATGTGTCAATATACAGATTTATAATGAGTTGGTTTTAAATGTTTATAAATATTTGCAGATTTCAGGAACTTCTCCTTTACAGTAGCGTTTACAGTCCAGTAGGCAATTAACACAATCTAAATGTATATGATGGAATACTGGCATTACAATCAGACAGATACCACCAAATGTGGGCTTTTATGGCTATTTTTTCCTCACAGGGGATGCCCTGGACCCCACTAGCAGTTTACTTTCCCCCTACTTGCAGGCTACCCCATACTTATGAAAGCTCACATTTCTCAGAGCCTACTAGCTTAGCTTTATGAAAACATACATGGTATTAGGTTAAAGGTTTTTTAGGTTTTGTTGGCAAACATTGCAGTTGCTTGCAGTCCCTTTATGCTCCAAAATAAATAAATAAAACACTTTTTTATTGTGGAGTGTGACGAGTTGAGGAGTCTTACAGCCCGAGGTAAGATTCTGCTCTGTGGTCTGGTACGACAACAAGGGACACTTTTTATGGCTTGCCATATGAGAGCAGGTTGTACAGGCTGTTCATTGTGTTTTAATATTCTTTGGGGCTTTTCTCAGTCACCTCTTCACACTAATATCAATTATGCTGGGTATGGTTAGCATTTAAAAACACTCTATTTGAGCCTTTTTCAGCAGGATGGAGATATGTGAGGCCACGTCAAGTGGTTTGTCATGCTGACCCCCAGGAAATTCAAACTGTTACTTGCGCCACCACAGCTTCTTTGATGCAGACAGGTGCTAGGTCTTAACCTGCTTTTTTCTGAAACCATGACCAGCCCCTTAGTGGTTGGTTCACAGAGCACACCTCTGCAAGATTGATGTTTTCTCAGTTGGACGGTGTAAGATGTAGGTGTACAGTGTGAACAGGAGGGGGCTGGCTGAGCACACAGCCCTGGGGGGCTCCGGTGTTCAGAGTGGAGGAGATGTGACAACCTTTCAATACTGCCTGAGGTCTGTTTGTGATGAAGTCCGATATCTCGTTGCAGAGTAAAAGCCCAGGGTGCTAAGTTTGCCAACCAGTTTCATAGGGGAGGCTTTTATCGAATGCTGTGCTGAATTCAACAACAAAAAGCACTAATGTTTAATGTCAAGCCTCATCAAACTACACAACTGGAAACAAATGACGTTCCTCATTAAATGCCAGATGTTTTTTAAAGTTGTCTCAAGGGTGTAATGTATAGCTTTTTATACAAAACCTTGTTAGTGTGGCCAAACAACATACAAAATACTTTTTGTTATAACAGTGGCTGTAGTAAACACTTTTTTTTATCAATGTATAACTTACAGGAATATGCATGTCTTATTTAATACACAGGGTTGACCACATGGAGGAGCTGCTGTGATGGTGAATGAAACCCAATTGAACAGCGAACACACTGTGAAACAACATAATTCACTCATCCTGCAGTATTTCTTAAGCAGAATGTTTAGTCCAAATGCATTGCAATGTCTCCTTGTGCTGCCATGTTTATATTGAAAGCAGGGCCTGGCTTTGTTGTTGTTGCTTCGTTGGATGTGCATTTTAATTACACTCACTATACACTTGTATAGGCCTATTTTCTAACTACCACTTGAGCATCAAGTTGAACAGGAGGTTTTAAATTAATCCACTAATCCCATGCTGTTTTTAATTGCAGTGGCTGACAGGTCAATGGCATTGACTCTATACACAATTTGAATTTACTTTTGTTTGTTTTTTTAACGAGAGGAGGCGTTGGCGGGTTAAATCATATTTTGTGTTCACTATTTAAAACAAATCTGATGTGTTTCTAAGGGCAAGCAACTATTTCAGTAAACTCCCAAATGTAGTTTTGTGTTTACATCTAAAAAGAATATATAGCAAATAGTGGATGGAAGCCTTTACCATACAGTACAGGCACAAACTCCACTGTTGGTTGTTTTCATAAACAAAAACAAAACAAAGGAAACCTCACTGTAAACTGTGAGTACCCCAACATTTAATGTTTTTCACTGAATGTCTTCCTCTGCTGCAAAGTGTAAAAAATATAGATTTCACAGTCCCAGTCCTGCTGCAAGCTGATGTGAATAGAAAAGGCTGTGAGGCTGCAGACTAGTCTCAAGGCAGAGGAGGGGAACATATTTAATTTAACATTTAAGCTCACCTCAGCAGACATAAAGGCACCTCAGAGACAAAAACAAACCAATTTTATAACCAAAATTAAAAACATGGCACATATAAATGGGTCCATATGGAAATAGAGGAAAGTCTTTCTCTGCTTCTTTAGCTCAAAATAAAATGGTTAGATAAAAACTCATTAATATTATTAGTTCAGTGTGAAGGTCAAAGCCATCACTGTTGATTCAAAAGAGCCTAGAAGAACACACCTTTAAACCCTTTAAACACAATAAAAACAAAGAGTTCGCTTAAATAAGTGGATTAAAGAGAGATTATTGTGTGCATGGAACCAACTAAATATATATTTGTATAGCAGTCTATAGTGGTATATACCTCCATAATGGTGTTGCCTGGAGTCTGGACTAATGGCTAAAACAGCACAGCTGTTCTCCCACAGGAAACATTTTAACACCCCATGGGCATACTCAGTCTTTACAGGGGCCAATCACACGGCGCCCTAACCAGAGATGCGCCGCGCAGTCTGAGCGCACTGATCTCAACTCTGGCTGCTGGACAACTCCGGAGCTGCGACGTAACCAGAAGCAAGTCCAAATGCGACACAACGCGCACTTTGAGGCTGTAGTGTGACTGGAACTGACTGGTGATCAGCTGCAGAGAAACTTTTTGGATAAATGTTACTCGTCCAACAGAGATCAATAAAACCGGGATCCGTAAAAATAAATGGGACATCACAAATCGCGAGAACTTGATTCCCTCCAGTTTAGCCAACTTTGTGCGGTAGCCCATCCGATCTGCCTCGGTCCGTGCAGAGCAGGAGGCTGGATGTGGCAGGAGACGGGTCACTGAGCTGTAGAGCCGGGTGCGAGTTTCCCCAGACCCCAACTCTCCAATGTCACCGGACAGGATGATGATCATCGGACTCCTGCTCAACGTCTTATCCCATGGTGAGCATTGCATTTCTTATTTCTAACAGCTGGCATCTCTGTTATTGAATCAGCCACCTTTTAAACTGTAGGCTATCATACATTTAGTCTGTTGAATCTGGTAGTGTGGGGCTCCAAAGGTGTCTTTCAGTAGCCAGAACTTGAATAATAATGCACATATGAATTCCAGTTGTTTCAACCATTCATGAATATGATGATGACTATAAAAATGGATTGTTATTAAGCCCTCTGCCCAGATCCAACAAATTGTAGTCTGATTTTGTTCCAGTATATTTTATTTAGATTCCCCAGGCTCCCCAGAAATGAACTTTAAGCGCTAAGTTTTTGAAAACACTTTGACAGTTCTGATATAGAACATGTGGCTCAAAACAAAGGAGGGAAATAAAGAATGACTGCACGTTTAATAATAAGACAGAGATTTACTATTCCAGGTTTCAGTGAAACTTTGTAAAAGGACCTTAAAGTCAAAATATTAAAAAGGTCCATAAAACCAGGTTTATTGTAGCAGACACCTTTTACATCTGGATGACATCATAGGTCTGCTATCTACCTTGGCCACGTTCCAAAAATCCCATATATTGATTACCCTGTCTCCAGATCATGGAAATATCACACATGCAGTTAAATTAAATTATGTACTCCTTTACATTAAAAGCATTTGGCTGCCACATCTGTGATTCATCGACATTTTACACAAGTTGTGCATTAGAAGTTGAAAGGATGAGAGATTTAAAGTTAAAATTCATAACTGCACTGTGTCAGTTTGTAGTATCACTGATTTAAAAAGGCTTTGTCTTGCTGGTCATTAAAGGGAAACGTGGTGAAATTTGACATTACAGTTGATGCATTTGGAATCTGCTGCTACCACAAAATGAGTTATAATTATTAAAGTCAATCATGTGGCTGAGGCTGGATAATACATCTCCCAGTGGAGCATAACGCTTGTTGATCTGTGGTTATTGATTATCTGCTATCTATGTCATTTTTAATCACAAGTGTTATTCAGTGCTCAAGATCAGACATATCTTTTCATTATTTGATTGTGGTTGTCTGCAGGTCGTATCCTAATCCATAGTTAATATTGAACAGATGAAACACAACACATCCGTGCTGTTCACTGCGGAAATGCAATGTAAATACTATAATTGTTGGGATTATTTCATTAGTGCAGGAAATGCATGCTTCACTGCATCCAGCACAATTCAGATACTATCAGGGGAGGCTGCCCATTAGAGATTAGTATCATAAAAGGATACATGTTCTCTTGTGAATGTCAAACCTCTCAGGCACCCAGTTTATTATGTGTCAAACCACCTGGCCGGCACTTATGGGGAATCACACCCAGAAAAGCAGGTATCTTTAAGCACTATTTAATGGAGATCTGAGTCATTAGAGAGGCAAATTAGACAGAGTGTTGTGATGTTGATTTATACTCTTATACCTGATTGCAAAGTCATTGATGACATTTCAATTTGGTTAATTGACATCATTTAGTAAAGGTGAAATCTTGGCAGAACTCAGTAGAGTAGTCAGGTTGTTTTTTAGACAAATCTGTTGGATAGATCTGTTATTTTCTACTTTGTGTTCAGTCTGAATGACTTTCTTTCTAGGTCCACAGTTATCATATATATAGCCCATGAGAACTGTATTTCATTTCAAACAATATTATTTTTACCTTGTTATATATCGCTTATTGCCTTGACCTCCGTGATCCAAACAATGGCCCTCAGTTGGACCCTTAGAGGTAACAGCCTTCCCAAAATGTCTGTCACCACTGACGCTCCACTGAGCTCTGCTCTCATTAATGTGTCGTCACAACATTGAAACATCCAAAAAGAAAGAGGATATTTGCACCTGCTTGTAAAGATCACGTATTCTCTATCAACTAAGAAAAACCCACAGCTGCTGCATGACGTCACACTTTGACATCAAGAAAACATAAAAAGCATCCTGAGCTTATAAAACATATTTTATAAACTGTCATTTCCCCGAGTTGTGTTTCACTGATTTGACCCTAAAACTCAGATGACATTCCACTTTTTCTATCCCTCTCATTTTCTATTGTTGAAATGCATTGATGCATTCATCTGTATCTTTTTCCAAATTAATACCAATGTAATGGTTACAAATTATGCATGAGATCAGCGTACAGTACCTTTTTCAGATAAATCAATGGGCAGCAGGCTATTGTTGAATCTTATTAAACCCGACGTTGACCCTTTGCTGCTCTGTTATCACCCCTGGTGATAGAGTGCTGCTATTTTTGGTGCTTCATTTAGTGGACGCCATTGAGCCGTGCCACCGTTGTCATAGATTTATTAGAGCTAATTTTCCGGCTGTGTTAAATTAAACAGGTCTACATTGAGTTAATATTCACACGCTCGAGCTGTTTTTCCTTTAAGGGTTTGACTTTTTGATGTATGCACTGTGTAGGGGTCTGAGCGCCCTCATGCACACGTTTTCCAATCCTTTGCCTCTTTATCTTTCCCACCGTGCCGAGGACTCTTCCCTCTTTCTGCTGAGGCATTGTCTTTATGCACCCTGTGCCTGTAATTCAGTTTTCGTTTAGGACGACAGCACACAGAAATTAAATTGGCAACGTGCCCATTGGACATTACTTAGATACAAAAATAACATGGAATACTCTTTCTGAATAAGCAATTATTTCACCTATGTGATCTTTTACTTATAAATAAAAATTGAGGGTAACTTCAACATCAAAATGTGGGTTTGTGAATGACACCTGAAATCTACTCACTCTCATGAATGTGAATTAAAGTGTTATTGCCTCCTATGCTTTCTTTGGCATCTTGATGGCACCAACAAAACACCACAGCAGGATGGAAACTGTACATAGGTGTGTCGCTGTAATGCAGAACAATTATTTTGGACTGCACCAGGTAGCAGGAGGCAGGAGCCTGAAATATTCACACAGCTCCACACACCCTAACTGGCTGATGCAAGTATGTACTTTACCTGAAGTACAGAAGGGAGGTGTTTTCCTGCGTGATGTGGCTGCACGATGGAGCACCTCATTAGACGAGGCCTCCATGTACTGAATACACTTGGCATCAGTCGATTCAGAAGATAAAACACTGAGTTTTGCACGCACTTGGAGAGTTGTCTAGACAATACGCTGTAAGAACCTACACGTGTTAAAAGCACCTAAAGTACAGGCATAATCAAGTTATTCTTATTTTCTCAGCTCTCAGTCATCACACTCTGCTCTAGCCAACGACCTGTCTGTCATGTGGCAGAGTTTTTCCCTTTTAGTTGAACTGTCCCTATCTTTATGCCATTATAATGAGGACTGTCACATACTGGATCAGGGATTGGACCCAAATGCAGACAGTTGAGGAGGCGGCAGGATGAACTCAGTGGTTTATTATTGAGATATTCTTACACAGTCCAAATAAAGCAGGCAGGCAGGTTACACGCAACAAAACATCAGATTGCAACGATGACAAACTGACAGATAAAACTTAGGATCCAGGTCAGTGTGTGGAGCTGGATTTAATCAGAAGGAAGAGGAGGAAGGTGGAGCAGAGGAGGGAGGAGGGGACAGGTGTGTAGATGGGTGTGGGTCTCGTGATTGGGAATAGAGGGAAAGTATCATCTGTTGGACGGATGAAAAATGACAATGATTGGCCCTTGGCGATGATATATACAAATGGGTTTGTGATTGTCGTTTTCCTTAGAAGAGACCACATAAAAGCACCCAACCTTGAGTGACCTTGAGTTGTGATGGGCTTGCTTATTGTTATTTTAGTCACATCAAGTTTTTCTTTCCAATTTCTTTATCCTAGGTAAAGTATATATATGTCCTCTGTCATTACGCTGCATTATGTTACACGCTTGCCAGGTTTATTGCCATCACTATTTATGAAGACGACAGACAAGGCATCATTTTAAGCCGATTAACTGAAATTGTAGCTTTTTGTGAAATCAGGGTAGTGAAATCAAGTTGTCTTTTGAAGTGGACTTTCTGTTTGTGCTGCCGGTCCTGATGGAAAGAAAGCCGTAGGAGCCTCTGGTGGAAAGATGTTGGATAGACATAAAGTGAGGAGAAAACGGCATAAATGAAATCTGGCATGTGCAGCATCATGGAGGCATTGAGAAGAAATGAAAGTAACAGACTCAAAGAAAGAAAGTGGAGGGTTCAGGAAAACATGTCTGACTAAAGGACAGGTTGGAAGGGTAACATAAAAAATGTCTTCCTACAATAGTTTCCTGTAAAATGTAATCAGCGATCTAATCTGAATTAATTCTAGTTTAATTACTTAAGTATATTATGCAAGCCAACTGAACAATGTAACCTTAGAAAAGAAGAAACCAAGGTATTCAAATGTGTCCTCAGCTCAGGGATTTTTTATTCATGGAAGCCTGCCTTTCATTAAGCATATTCAAGCAGTAGCCTATACACCAACAATGAAACACATGAGGACATTCTACAGTTTAAAGGAAAAACACATAAAATCTGAGTTGACAGAATAGGCTTCATTTGAGTTTAATACATACAGAAAAGCTCACACACACTATTTTGTGAACATATAGGTTCATCTACTGAATACAAAAATGAACAAATGGACCAAAGAAAGCGAAAACTATAAAGCAGATTCAGGCAGTAAAGTATTAGCCTACAGAACAGTACAGTTTACAAAGAAGAAATACAATCTAATCCTACTAGAAATCACCAATTTATAAAAATGTAACAATGTTTTTTATTACCTCTTTTTTATGTAGCTGTAAGGGAAAGTACTGTTAAACAAACTGTCTCCTGATAACGGTACTCCAAAGCCTGCTTAGTGGTAATTACAAACACACAAATTTGCACATATTTTTACGTAATTTTGAAACCCACAATGCAGAACACATAAAAAAAAATTCATCTTGATTTGGTATCAAGAAAATACATTCTGAAAAATGAAACGGAACTCATACTGTGTCTTTAAACAGAGCTGCTCCACCGAGGTGCCCAGGGCAGTGCCTGAAGTTATCTC